AAATTAATGCTAACATTCACTTCTTTACATTCTTTTATTTTTATTGATAAATTTAAGACAATTTTCCTCTGGGTATTTTTTTACTTTATCTCATAGATTCTGCTACATGGGGTTTTTATTATTTTGTTTTCTTGGAATTCTATGATTTCATTGTTTTTTTTTTTTGTTTTTTTTTTTTTTAGACCGAGTCTCTGTCGCCCAGGCTGGAGTGCACTGGCGTGATCTAGGCTCACTGCAACCTCCGCCTCCCGGTGTTCAAGTGATTATCCTGCCTTAGCCTCCTAAGTAGCTGGGATTATAAGCATGCGCCGCCACACCTGGCTAATTTTGGTATTTTTAGTAGAGACGGGGGTTTCACCATGTTGGTCAGGCTGGTCTCGAACTCCTGACCTCGTGATCCGCCCACCTTGGCCTCCCAAAGTGCTAGGATTACAGGCATGAACCCCCACGGCCGGCCTGTATTTCTTCTTTGACTCGAGTCATTTATTAGAGAGTTTTGATATTTTTTAGTCAAAGAATTTTTTCATTTTCTGATTTTGTTACATATTTTTATTATGTTGTTTTTAGAGAATTTTTTTCTGCATTAACTTTTGTAATGTGTTGAGGCTTTCTTTGTGGCCCAGTAGATGAGCAATTTTTATGACTGAGAGTACAGAACTTAATATACAACTGTAAGATCATCTTATTTATTAATATGTTTTGGGTTTTTTAATGCATTTATTTTTCTTGATCTGTTCTTTGTTTTTTTGTGTGTTCCTATTTCTCCTTTTTAAAATCCAGTAATCTTTATGAAAGTGGATACTCTGTTGTTTGGTGCATAGATATTCGTAACTGATAAAATTAATCTTAGCTTCATACAGTCATGTAGACTTTAGGTCATTTGGAGCTTTTTGTCTAGAATCCTTTGATTTATATTCAGTTGTGTCCCCTGTTATCTTTTGTTTGCCTTTTAGGTCTTTGATCATGCTTTTATATTTAACATTTTGGAATCTCTTTAAGTATATATTTTAGGATATGGCATAGAACTGGGTTTGTTTTGTAATTCAAACCCCATCTGTCCTGTAGTAGAATCCTTAGAAAGGTGATAGTATTCCCTGAGTTCTTGCATGTTTGAGCCTTTATATTTGAAGCATAGCTTTGCTGGATGAAAATATTTTTCTTTTTAAGTAAATTAAGTTTATTTGCATGTATTTATGTTAGATATATCTGGTTGTAGTTATACTGTCTTGTATTTATATTTTAAGTCTTTTACTATATGATCTGTTTTTGTTTTGTTTTGTTTTGGTAATTTTGCCCTATAGAAATATGTGTATTTTTGTTCTATTGGTTTGTCTTCATATATCTTTTATTTTTTTTTTGAGATGGAGTTTTGCTCTTGTCACCCAAGCTGGAGTGCAATGGCCCAATCTCGGCTCACTGCAACCTCCGCCTCCCAGGTTCAAGCAATTCTCCTGCCTCAGCCTCCCAAGTAGCTGGTATTACAGGTATGCGCCACCACGCCCGGCTAATTTTTAATTTTTAGTAGAGGTGGGGTTTCTCCATGTTGGTCAGGCTGGTCTTGAACTCCCGACCTTAGCCTCCCAAAGTGCTGGAATTACAGGCGTAAGCCACCGCACCCGGCCATCTTTGTGTATCTTTTTATATGTCCTTAGTCCTCCCTTTCTTGCTTTGTTTCCCTCCTGTGATCAACAAGCAAATTAACTTGTAAATTTTTCTTCATCTTCCTCTCCTCTGCTACCCAATTATATTCAATAATGTTATTTTTCATTGTATATGAGAGATGATGTCTTTTGTAAGACATACCATTATTTCATGTACCACTTAGGTAAAAAATGTCAATTAAACTATGACCATTAACTATAAAACACATTCTGATTTCACAGATGTTAAAATGTGAAAAAACAAAAGTGTTTTAAAATCAATAAAATAGGGCTGGGCACAGTTGCTCATGCCTGTAATCCCAGCACTTTCAGAGGCCAAGGCGGGAGGATTGCTCAAGGCCAGAAGTTCAAGGCCAGCCTGGGCAACACAGTGAGATGCCATCACTATATAATTTAAAGAAAGAAAGAAAGAAGCCTGGGCCCAGTGGCTCACAGCTGTAATCCCAAGACTTTGGAAGGCCAAGGCGGATGGATCACTTGAGCCTGGAAGCTCGAGACCAGCCTGGGTAGCATGGTGAAACCTCATCTGTACAAAAACCACAAAAAGTAACTGGGTATGATGGCACATGCCTGTAGTCCCAGCTACTTGGGAAGCTGAGGTGGGAGGATCACCTCAGCTCAGGGAGGTCGAGGCTGCAGTGAGCTGTGATCATGCCACTGCACTCCAGGCTGGGCAACAGAGCTAACCTTGTCTCAAAACAAATTTTTTTTAAATCAATAAAAGTCTTATTATTTACCATTGTACACTTATGCTAATGTTTCTTTTTCTTTATGCTAGTGTTTCTTACTGGTTTATTCTAAATGACATTCTTTAACTTAAAAAAAAAAAGTTTACTTTTGTACTTTTTGTAGAGACAGGGTTTCACCATGTTGCCCGGGCTGGTCTCAAACTCCTGGGCTCAAGTGATCCTCCCAAAGTGCTGGGATTACAGGTGTGAGCAACCTCGCCCAGTCTCTCCAATCATCTCTTGGTTGGCTGATGCTCATCCTCTAGTAGAATCCTTAGAAAGACGATAGTATTTCCTGACTTCAGGCATGTTTGAGCCTTTATATTTGAAGCACAGCTTTGCTGAATTTAAAATTCCTTGATTTACATTTTCTTTCCTTGAATATATTATAGGTGTTCTTTTGTTGATTTATGGTGTTGAATGTTGTTATGCTAACCTGATTTTCTTTAAGTAAACCCAAATTTTACTTGGATAAGCCTCTTACTGACCATTGTAGGTAAAGTTTCCCCATACACAGTGTGTCTTTCAATTCACGTCACCTTCTATTTCAGGAATGGTCTACCTCCGCCTTGCAAAGTGCTAGGATTACAGGCATGAGCCACCACACCTGGCCTGATTTTTTTAAAAGAATATCAAAATTAGGCTGGGCAGGAAGTAAGGAGTTCGAGACCAGCCTGGCCAACATGGTGAAACCCGGTCTCTACTAAAAATACAAAAAGTATCTGGGTGTGGTCTCAAAAAAAAAAAAAAACACACACACACACACACAAATATCAAATTTAGATAAAAGTTATAAGAACAATACAAATATTTTTTCCTTCTGAAGTATTTGAAAGCCACCAACATGAAGGTTCCATCATCCCTGAATACTTCAGTCTGCATTTCCTCCATATAAGGACATTCTCTTTTATAATTATAATATAACCATCAGAATCAAAAAATTAATATTCGTAGATATGTCTATGAATCCATAGATATGTCTGTGTTTCCCTTTCAAGTTTATCAGTTATCCCAATGATGCCTTTATAGGAAAAGTATCCAGTCCAGGATTATGCATTTTATTTACTTGACATATCATTTTAATCTCATTTAATCTGGAATAGTTCCTCAGCTTTACCTTGACTTCATGATTGACACTTTGAAGAACAGGCCAGTTATTTTGTAGAATGTCCCTCAATTTAAATTTTGTCATGATTTAGGTTAAGATTATATGTCTTTGGCAAGGATGTCACAGAAAGGATGCTAATTCTCATGGCCTCCTATCAGGCAGCATGTAATTTCCATTTGTTTCAATGTTGATAGTGGTCACTGACTTGATTAAGGTGCTGTCAGACTTCTCCACCCTAACATTACTGCTTTTCTTTTTGTAATGAGTATTTGGTGGAGAGGCCTGTAAATGTCTCATTCATGGAATCCTTTTATTCAATGGGCTATGAACCATTATTCATCATAGTGCTTAAATATTGTCAAATTTGGCCAGCTTGAGCCCCTTAAACTGATTCTTTTAACAGATTCTCCATCATTCTTTGAGCAGTTTTACTTTATGCCTCAATAAGCTATTCCAGACTCATCTTGTATAGTTGTCCTTCGGTATACATGGGGGATTGGTTCCAGGACCCCCTAGTACACCAAAATCTGCATATACTCAAGTCTCACAGTTGGCCCTGCAGAACCCACATACGGGGAAAAGTCACCCTCCCTAGCCTGCAAATACTGAATTTTTGATCCAGGTAAAAAGATTACACATTTAAGTGGACGTGTGCAGTTCAAACCTGTATTGTTCAAGAGTCAGCTGTACTTTCCAGCCCTGGAATTAGCAAGACCTCCAAGGAGCCCCAGTTCCTTTTAGAGGAGAATGCTATTTGGAAACCAAGATCTGGGTACTAGTTGTGCTCATTGCTAGTAGGGTGTCGCTTCTAGCCCTCATAGTGGATTGGACAGAGCTAGAAAATACGTGTGTGTACACAGTAGATCTAGATTCCAATCCAGTACCACAAAGTTCACCTTCAGCCTTTCCATTTTTATAATCCCTTTATCCGAAAATGAGAAACTTCAACATTTATTTGCTTGCTTATTACAGTCTCCTGACCCTGCTGTCTTCTTTCTGAGCATTTGAGGGGAGAGGTGGTGACCAGAAATAGAGCAATGGTTCACTTTTTTTTTTTTTTAAGTGGTAGTGGTAATAGTATATTTAAGGAACATAGGTGTTCTTTAAATTCTGCTATTGTCAGATATATGTTACATATTATAATTTTTGAAATACAAAAGGGTTAAAGTAATTCATCACATTAGTGATTACAAGAGAAAAGTTACCCAAATCATCTCCACAAAGTGTACTCACTATGAATACCCGGTGTGATATTCACACAGTGAGTGTACACCTGTAGGGTTAGGTATCTGGCTGAGAGTACAGGTAAGGAGAGAGGAAGCATCTGAAATCCAAATGGTTTGTCCTAAACGTGAAAGGATCTAGATCTGGGAGATTTATTTGGAGATGACAGTAACTGTTGTGAAAAACAGCAAATCATTTCAATTCTTAACCAGAGCATTTTTGTGAGCATATTTCTAATACAGCTACCACTTGTGTTTATGAAAAAAATTAAAGTCTTACATTTTCGTCAAAGCCTTCTCTTCTGGCTTGTTCAGCCAAATCTCCGCTGCCTTTGCTACTGAAAACATAAAATAAAAATCAGAGGCAAATGACAATAAAAAAGGAAATGCCACCATAACGTACAATCAGATCTGTAGTAAGGATCTGAATAATATTTATTTCAGATAATGCTAATTATTTGGAAAATGTGATCATTAACAAGTTCTTCAGAGTATCATATGCCATGAACTGAAAAAAATGTTTATGTTCCACTGCCAGAGTTCTGGGTTTGGGAATTATTTTGACACCAAAGTCATTTAATAAATGTAAGTGTAAATATAGTGTAAGTGTAAGTATTATTCATAAGTATTGTGTGTAAATGTTTTTATAGCCAAGTAAATGCATTTAATTTAGACTAAAATCGTTTCCTACCTTTTTAGAGGGACTTTATTGTCCCCTCCAGCTTTCTCTTACAGCTTTTTCTCAGTAGAATGGCCGGCATTATATTAATTTTAAATTAGCTAAAATTTCTGGTGTCCTCAGAAATTAGGAGGCACTCCTGGGTGTACTGACTGTATATTTAGAATTGCCACATAGGTTGTTGGTGGTTTTGCTATTAAAACCGTACTCATGGCCAGGCATGGTGGCTCACGCCTGTAATCCCAACACTTTGGGAGGCCCTGGTGGGTGGATCACCTGAGGTCAGGAGTTTGAGACCAGTCTGACCAACATGGGGAAACCCTGTCTCTATTAAAAACAAAACAAAACAAAAAAACAACCTTATAAGGTTCTCCTGTAATGTAGAACTTTAAAATGGTAAGTTAAACATTTGAGAAAAGTCATCTTACGTTTTCTTGTCTTCATCTTTTCGAGCTTTCTTCAGTCTAAATTTCTCGAGAACATTTTTGTAACTCTGGGCATAATTTAAAATAGTTTGAAAATTCATCAAAATATATCCTTTATTATTAATGTTTTATCAAAGTAAAATAAATATGTAATGCTTGTCCCTCTGGATTGCTACCCTAAAGAATTGTGGAGGTAAATACTATGATTATCCTTCTTTCACGTGAACTCATTGCTACATATGGTTTACACCTGCTGGCGAAAACACAAAAGGGGTTCTTCAGTTGGGGGCATTACTCTGGAACTTGGAAAAAGCAAAAATCTTTAAAAAGCGTTAACATGTATTGCGTTAAGGATGTTAACACTTCTAATGAGTATAACCAACATCATATTCAAGTGATAAAAGATGGGGGAAAAAAGCAAACTAATTGGGGGATAGCTTAACAGTTTTTTTGGTTTGTTTTACAGATTAGTTCTTGGGCAAAATTTGTAAACCCCACTAACCCCACAGCTACTAGGACCTCTTCTCTGTGAAATGCTATGCTTTAGAAACATGGGATATGCAGAGATGGCCAGACTGGCAGGGGAGATGTGACTGATACACATATAACTCTGCTACGCTCAAACTGAGGTAGATATTGAGAGGAGGACAGGACAGATTCCACTTTTTGAAGAAGAATAGAGTGATAGCAAGAGAGAAGAGCTGTAGGAATATTTCAGGGGTCACAGAATGATTTGAGCAGAGGCTCAGAGGAGAGAGTGAGAACAAGCATGGTATAAAGCACAGTGCTCAGAACAGATGAGCCGGGACATACAGTGTTGTAAATAGAGGCAGAAAGGTAGAAACTACAGTAAAATTATAGTTAATGAAGATAGGTTGGGACTGTGAGACTTGAGGATTTGGAATGTTTGGGTAAGGAATTCGGACTTGACAGGCCTAGGGAAACTGATAACCACATCTGGACTGGCACAGGGAAGAGGCTACAATAGTCAGGAAATGTTACCATGGTGAAGGTAAGTACAAAAAGTACTGAAAGCCTCGTCTAGCGGCAGTTAGAATTTAAAGTATTCCACAAATGTAAGCAAGAACTACAGAGATAAACTATACATATGCCATGACGATAGACTATATAAGGGACAAGGAAACAAATTCTTTTCAAGTTTCTTGAGCCAGGAGTGACTTGAGAGGATAGTGTTGCCATGAACAGAAACAGGAAAGTGAGGAAGACAAGACACATGGAGTTCTGAGTTTAGATTGATAGAAATTGAACAGCTTCCGAGCAAAAACTTTCCGGAAGGAAGAGAGGGTTTTATTATAATACTCAACAGTGCTTTGCATTTAGGAAATCACTCAATAACTATTTGATATATTGCACTCTGAAATAATTTTGGCTACATTTTTGAAGCCAGAGAGCATATCTCATTTCTGTAGTAATGAAATAATGTGAGTATCAGTAACACTGGATCAAAACACAAAACCAACTCTGGGGGTGGGAGTGGGGAGAGCACGACCACTTGGGATTAAGTGGTATTCAAACTGCAGGAGGATAAACTGTATGAGATTTGTCTTAGAATTCTAATTAGGAAAGAAATTTGACTTACCTGTTTAATCATTTTACCAAGTTCAAAATCCGGCCTTCTGCCTATTGAATAATCAGCTTTCACTTCAGAGTAGGTATCATTAATAATTGCCAAGAACATATTCTAGGAATAAGTATTCAAAAAATTATTTCAATAAAAATTTAGTTTAAATGTTAGTGATTTTAACAAGTTTCAGGTTTGTAAAATTGTATTTAAATTTTAAAAGTAGGCCAGGCATGGTGGCTCACGCCTGTAATCCCAGCACTTTGGGAGGCCAAGGTGGATGAATCACTTGAGGACAGGAGTTCAAGACCAGCCTGGCCAACATGGCAAAACCCCGTCTCTACTAAAAATACAAAAATTAGCCAGACATGGTGGCGTGCACCTGTAGTCCCAGCTACTCAGGAGGTTGAGGCAGGAGAATCTCTTGAACCCAGGAGGTGGAGGTTGCAGTGAGCCGAGTAAGATCGCACCCACTGCACTCCAGCCCGGGCAACAGAGCAAGACTCTGTCTCAAAAAATAATAATAAATAATAATAAAAAAGAAACAAGCAAAACATCAAGCTTTAAAAGTAACCCGTATGCTCAAAAATGGGGAAATGTCTATGCAGACAATAAGTAGAATAGAAAATGTGTGGTGTGTGGGTATGGGCAAATATGTTTATTGCAAATGAGAAAACAGAATGTAAAAGAATGCATATGAACTGGTTATATATATGCAATATTACATAATGGAAGAAAATTTAGAATGATGTAATTATGTGTTCATAAGGGTGTTTTTTGTTTGTTTGTTTTTGAGACAGGGTCCCACCCTGTTGCCCAGGCTGGGGTGCAGTTGTGTGATCTCAGCTCACTGCAGTCTCCCACTCCCAGGTTCAAGCGATTCTCATGCCTCAGCCACCCAAGTAGCTGGGATTATAGGTGTGCATCACCAAGCCTGGCTAATTTTTGTATTTTTAGTAGAGACGGCATTTCATCATGTTGCCCAGGCTGGTCTCGAACTCCTGAGCTCAAGCGATCCACTTGCCTCTGCCTCCCAAAGTGCTAGGATTATAGGTGTGAGCCACTGTGTCCAGCCAAGGGTGTTTGCTGTTACTGTTGTTTTTAAATTCTATGAAGCTGTTTAAATTCACAGTCTTACTACAGCTCCTGCAACTACTAATGTCCAGATAACACAAATGTAGAAAGGATATTCTTACCCCAACAGCCCACCTTTCACTGTGGCCCAGCTCTGTCACCCTAAGAGTCTTGTCTGTCACCAGGGGATAACTTCTGTGCCTGACAAAAAGTGTTTTCATGGAGGACAGTACAATGCCTTGACTAGAAAGGCAAGGTTCCTTGGTTAGGAAGCCCAAATAGACTTGTTCTGAGTGCATGTGAGAGATCCATCCTGATAACTCCTGAAAACCACAACATATTAAGTGTTTGGCTGTAAGGGCCAAAAGCCATTGCAATATGGGCAGAATATTAATGGCCACATTCATGGCTCATGGCATGCATTGTCCCAGCCTGAAGAGACCTGGGACATTCAGATTATTTATGTGAAGGATTTAGCACATTCCCATCTAAAACACCCAGAAATTAACTACTGTGATTACATTCTTCATTGGACAACTTGAAAACAGTCACTGGACTAGTGAACCTGGATTACTAGGGATCCACACAATTCTTAATAAATGTAAAGTACCCTGACAGCTGAGCAGAAATAATAGTTTATTCTAAATGAGTAATTTTATTTTTTATTCTAAAAAGTAAGAAATGTAAGGAATATATATTATCATTCTTACCAGCAGGACAAAGAACACAAAAAAGATGAAAGTGATGAAGTAAATGGGTCCCAAGATAGGATTGGCTTGCTGAATACCAGCAAAATTAAAATCTCCAAGAACAATTCGAAATTGTGCAAATCTTTAAGAGAGAAAAATATTAGAAAACATACACCTTCATGTACATACATGACAACTGATGGGAGTTACTAATGTCTCTAAGAGGATATCTAGCAGCATATGGCATATGCTTTCTGACTTTAATTATGTTACTACAGAGTTGCGTAAAATTGGATGTAGAAAATTCCCCTAAAAGAAAGACTTAAAGTACCTCAATAGCCGAATAGGTAATGTAGGACATGACTGCTTTAATGAATGTGAACTCAGTGTTCATCTATAACTTTTTTTTTTTTTTTTTTTTTGAGACAGTCAAACTCTTACCACCCAGGCTGGAGTGCAGTGGTGCTACCTCGGCTCACTACAACTTCTGTCTCCCAGGTTCAGGCGATTCTCCTTCCTCATCCTCCCAAGTAGCTGGGATTACAGGCGTGCATCACCATGCCCGGCTACTTTTTTTGTGTTTTTAGTAGAGACAGTCTCACCATGTTGGCCAGCCTGATCTCAAACTCCTGGCCTTAAGTGATCTGCCCACCTCAGCCTCCCAAAGTGCTGGGATTACAGGCATGAGCCACCGCACCCAGCCCACCTGTAACATTTGAACCTGAGATACCTGTTTACTAACTGGTTTTGGCAGTGGCCTTCTTGGCCGGCTATGCCTGTGCCCTTCTAAACATTAGAACTTTGAATTTGTTCAAGTGATTTTTCAACTTGTAGAAGGTTTAGACCCAAGAGCCCTAAACTTTCTAATGTCAGTGAAGTGAATTTTTGTCTTAACCAACTCTTAAATTCTGATAAAATAGGGATGCCAACAATATGTCACTTGCTAGTCTCAAACAAGTGCTGATAATAATACTCAACATGATCCTAAGGTTTATTTTACCCTCTTTGATAGCCTGGTTTGATAAGAAATACCACTTAAAGTATTTCAAACCTTCCTTTTTCTAATTTTAAAGATGGAAAATGAAGAAATTAAGACTTTGCGTAGCACAGTAGTAACAAGTAGAATTAGAATTTTCTAACTTGAAAATCTTATTTTCTCATTATTAACTTCCAGTGGTCTCACTAGACATATCAGGAATATCAGTTTAAATTATGTGTGTGTGTTCTCTATTCTATGAGGAAATTTGGAAAGAATTTTTTTTTTTGAGACGTGTTTCGCTCTTGTCACCCAGGTTGGAGTGCAGTGGTGGGATCTTGGCTCACTGCAACCTCCATCTCTCCGGTTCGAGCGATTCTCCTGCCTCATCAGCCTCATGAGTAGCTGGGATGACAGGCACGTGTCACCATGCCTGGCTAATTTTTGTATTTTTAGTAGAGATGGGGTTTCACCACGTTGGCCAGGTTGGTCTCAAATTCCTGACCTTAGGTGATCCACCCGCCTTGGGCTCTCAAAGTGCTGGGATTACAGGCGTGTGGAAAGAAATTTTTAATCCTATGTTGATAACTCTGCGTAATTGGTCAGTGAAAAGGAAGAAAGGCTGCTTGTCCCTTATTGCTTTTGCCAGTCACATAAAAGGAGCAAAGAGCTTTAATGAAGGAAGAAAAATCATTCAAAGAAATGGGCTACATGAAGTCCTAGGACTCAGAGTTATCTGAGATTCCATCCTTGGCACCTAGCTAAGACCTGACCAAATCATACCTAAAGTATTTATCTTGCTTTTAATACTGGTTTGTAATGCTTTCCTCCATAAGATAGAGAAAATACTGAATTGGAAGGAAACTAAGTCTCACCACAAATCAAATATTTTTTCTGGCATAGGAGAATAAAAGGTTCTGTTTTAGTGTTTCTGCCATGATCTTACTGTTTTGTAACTTTCTGATGCCCCGCAAACTTTAGATAGAGTTCTTCCTTATTGAATTACCATAACTAAAAGCCTGTTTCATAATAACGTGCCATTTGTCATTAATAAGACTTTCCAGTCTCTCTCTTGGAGTCATTGATTGGGTCACTACAAGAAATTCATCTTTAACTTGAGGGTGTAGCAATTCAAGCTCCCTTTTTGATGTATAGAAAGGTGACTAGATAGTCTTCTCCCTACACACACACACATACACACACACACACACACACACACACACACACACACACACACACTGTGCAGGCCCTGGACCTTGCCTCTGTCTCCTTCCTGAGAGGTGGCCAGTAACACAGTTTCTCAACTATTTCTTCTGGATCAGCAAAAAAAAAAAAAAAAAAAAAGGTTCTTGGAAGGTGGAAGAGAACCACAGGAAACTATTTCTCCCCTGTCCCCATCTAGACAATAATTACATGGACAGAATCTGTCAGATGTACTACTTTGGAACTCTAGAGTCTGTTGAAGAAGGCCTGCAACTTCCAGGGAAAAGCTTGGACAGTAAATTGCAGTTAATTTTGGACAATTTCAGCTTTTATCTCAATAGCTATGCATCCCCTACTCATTAGCCTCATAGATGGGATCCATTCACATGTTTGTGAAGCAGCTTGCATGTAGCTTATGGGAGCCATGTGGGGAATAAATACCATGTCTTTCAATAATTGGGGATCTGTGTAGTGACTGCTGATTGCTGCTTCTGATCGTGGAGATGCAGGCACTGAGGTGGGCAGCCATTGTTGCATCTCCATTGTTGCAAGACCATCCTTCAGCTGAAGCAATGTCCTTGGGATTTAAAGGGCTGTTATCCTTCCCCTACCTCTCATTTTATTCTTCTCTTTTCCTTTTTTGGGATCCAGACATTAAAGACTAGGACATTCAGAACCAACTCCATATCAGGGGAAAGTTAGGAAGTCATTGTGCATTCCCAGGAAAGGGCATAGGCTGAGGAAAAACCTGAGAAGACCTTAAGTGTGCAACTCAGGGTGATCCTTGGCATGGAGCCAGACTATAAAAATAAAAAATAAGAACAAAAAATGGCAAACCGTGGGGAAGGGGAAGAATCTGATTTTCAAAGTAACATTATTAGATTCAAATGTCTGGTTTGAATTTTTATTATTTTTTATTTTTTGTACAGACATAGTCTCCCTTAGTTTCCCAGGCTGGTCTCAAACTGCTGGGCCCAAGTGATCCACTTGCCTTGGCCTCCCAAAGTGCTAGGAGGTTCCCAAAGTGCAATGGCTCCAAAATGTGAGCCACCACACCCAGCTTGGTTTGAATTTTTTAAAAATCACAAAATCACAAGACATACAAAGTTTGAATCTAAAAATTCACCAAAAAATCACTAGATACACAAACAGGGAAATATGAGCCATTCAGTGGAAAAACCAAAACCAAAACCAAAAAAAACGCAAGCTAGTAGATACTGTCTCTGAGAAAGACCAGATGACGGCCTACTAGACAAATACTTTAAAATAACTGTCTTAAAGATGCTGAAAGAACTAAAGGAAAGCATGGATGAAATCAAGAAAATGTAAACAAAATGGAAATATCAATAAAGTGAAAACCTAAAAAGAAACAATTCCAAGATGGAAAAATAATAACCAAAATGAGAAATTTACTAAAGGGATTCAAAGGAAGATTTGAGCAGGCAGAAAAAAGAATCAATGAACTTGAAGATAGGATAATTTACATTATTGAGTCTGAGAAACAGAAAAAAGAAGAAAAGTGAACAGGGCTAGGTGGCTAACGCTTGTAATCCCAGCACTTTGGGAGGCCAAGACAGGTGGATCACCTGAGGGCAGGAGTTCCAGACCAGCCTGGCCAACATGGTGAAACCCTGTCTCCACTAAAAAAACACAAAAATGAAGGCCAGGAGTTCGAGACCAGCCTGACCAACATGGAGAAACCCCGTCTCTACTGAAAATACAAAACTAGCCAGGCATGGTGGTGCATGCCTGTAATCCCAGCTACTCGGGAGGCTGAGCCAGAAGAATCACTTGAACCTGGGAGGCGGAGGTTACAGTGAGCTGAGATCATACCACTGTGCTCCAGCCTGGGCAACAAGAACAAACTCCATCTCAAAAAAAAAAAAAAAAAGAAAGAAAGAAAATAATCCAATTTAAAAACGGACAAAGGACCTCAATAGACATTTCTCAAAATAAGACACACAAATGGTCAACAGATATATGAAAAAATGGTCAACATCACTAATCAGGAAAATGCAAATTAGGCCAGGCACAGTGGCTCACACCTGTAATCCCAGCACTTTGGGAGACTGAGGCAGGTGGATCACTTGAGGTCAGGAGTTCGAGACCAACCTAGCTAACATGGTGAAACCCCATCTCCACTAAAAATACAAAAAGTAGCCAGGCGTGGTGGTGCATGCCTGTAATGCCACCTACTCGGGAGGCTGAGGTGGGAGAATCACTTGAACCCAGGAAGAGGAGGTTACAGTGAACCGAGATCATGCCACTGCACTCCAGCCTGGGCAACAGAGCAAGACTCCATCTCAAAAAAACAAAACAAAATGAGCTATCACCTCACATCTGTTAGAATGGCTCTTATCAAAAAGATAACAAGTGTTATCGAGGATGGAGACAAAAAGAAAACTTCATACACTGTTGGTGGGAATGTAAAATGGTACAACCACTATGCCAAACAGTATTGATATTCCTCAGAAAATTAAAAATAGGACTAACATATCCAGCAATCCACTTCTTGGTAGATGTATCTACAGGAAATAAAATCAGTATGTGAAAGAAATATCTGCCCTCCCATGTTCACTGCAGCATTGTTTAGCCGAGATAGGGAATCAACCTACATGTCTATTAATGGTTAAATGGATAAAGAAAATATGGCATATATAAACAATGGAACACTGTTCAATCTTTGAAAAGGAGGAAATACTGTCATTTGTGACAAGGATGAAATTGGAGGACCATCATATTAAGTGAAATAAGCAAGGCACAGAAGGACAAATACTGCATGATCTCACTTATATGTGGAGTCTGAAAAAATTGAAGTCATAGAAGCGAAGGGCAGAACGGCAATTGCCAGGGGTTGGAGAGGTGGAGTTCAAGGGAAATTGAGAGATGTATGTCAATGGGTGTAACATTTCAGTTAGACAGAATAATAAGTTCTGGAGATCTACTGTATAGCATGGTGACTATAGTTAATAATGTATACTTGAAAATTGCTAAGAAAGTAGATCTTAAATGTTCTTACCACAAAAAATGATAAATATGAGAGGTGATGGATATGTTAAACATAGCCTGATTTAATCATTTCACAATGTGTACATATTTCAAAACATCACACCTATAGCATAAATATATATAATTTTAATTATACCTTAATAAGTCTGGAGGGGGAAATAGATCATGTGATCCAGCAATTCTACTTCTGGGTATATAACCAAAGGAACTGAAATATCCATCCAACTGAATGGATATTTATACATCCATGTTCACAGCACTGTTATTCACAATAGCTAAAATGTGGAACCAACCCAAATGTGTATTGACAGATGAATGAATAGGCAAAATGTGGAATATACATATAATAGAATATTATTCAGCCTTTTTAAGGAAGGAAATTCTGACTACATGCTACAACATGGATGAAACTTAAGGGCATTTATGCTAATGAAGTAATCCAGTCACAAAAAGACAAATAATATATGATTCCACTTATATGTTGTACCTAGAGTAATCAAAATCATAGCAACAAAAAGTAGAATGGTGGCTGACAGGGGCCGGGGAAGGGGAAAATAGGGAGTTATTGTTTTAATTGGTATAGAGTTTTTGTTTTCCAAGATGAAGAGATTTGGAGATAGATGGGGGTGATGGTTGCACAATATGAATGTGCTTAATATCACTGAACTGTACACTTAGAAGTGGTTTAAATGGTAAATTTTATGTTACATATATTTTATCACCATAAAATTTTTGAAAAAAGAGCTTAAAAATGCCTTCAGGGCAAATAGCTTTGGGTGCTGGGCTTACTTCTCTGGGTTGTGGCCTTCTGACTTTGACCCAGTTATTACTCACTTTCTTATTAATTTCTCATTGTTTTTTATGTCATCCAGCTTTAAAATTGTCCTCAAGAGGAGATTGATCTGAATAGCCTAACACATCATTACCAAAAACAGACGTCCTCTCATTAACCCATTCCAAAGTTCTCTACCTGTTCTGTGCTTTATACTTTCCTTTCCTCTTCACTACCCACAGTAAGACAAATTTCCTGGGCTCTGTAAATTATTACATCTGTATTAAATGCCAATTATTACCAAGTTTTATTATTATTTTTATTATTTTAGAGATGGGATCTCCCTCTGTTGCCCATGCTGGAGTGCAGTGGCACGATCATAGCTCACTGTGACCTCAAACTCCCAGGCTCAAGTGATCCTCCTGCCTCAGCCTCCTGAGTAGGTAGGAATACAAGCATATGCCACCACATCCAGCTAGTTGTTTTTTATTTTTTGTAGAAACGGAGTCTTGCTGTGTTGCCCAGGTTGGTCTTGAACTCCTGGCCTCAGTGATTCTCCCATCTTGGCCTCCCTAATGCTGGGATTATAGGTGCCATGGGGCCCAGCCTCAAGCTATTTTAAAAATACATGTTTGGCAGATTAGCAAAGGATGATCAGGTCAATATCAATAAAAATATTAAGATGGAGCCCTCTAAAGAAAACACTTAAGATTTCTTTTGGCTGGGTGTGGTGGCTCACATCTGTAATCCCAGTGCTTTTGAGATGCCGAGGCAAGAGGATTGCTTGAACTCAGGAGTTCAAGACCAGCCTGGGCAACATGGCTAAACCTTGTCTCTCCAAAATACAAAAATTGGCTGGATGTGGTGGCACACCCAGCTACTCAGGAGGCTGAGGTGGGAGGATTGCTTGAGCCCAGGAGTTTCAGGATGCAATGAGCAGTGATAACGCCATTGTATGCCAGCCTAGGTGACAGAGTGGAGACCCTGTCCAAAAAACAAAATACCAAGAGAATAAATACTATAGAGACATGGGGGACAATTTCCATTATTTTAGGTAAAATTATCACTTCCAGTGAAAAATGAAAAATTATTTTTCTAACTTGACCTAGTAACACCTTAAAAATGGACACCATCACCCATTTGGCTCCTTCAATGCCAAACCCTAATTTGAATGTGATAGATATTTAGCCATCAATGAAAATATCAGCCAGGCTGGTGGCTCATGCCTGTAATCCCAGCATTTTGGGAGGCCGAGGCATGAGGTTCACTTGAACCCAGAAGTTTAAAACCACCCTGAGCAACATGGTGAGACTCCCTCTCTACAAAAAATAATAAAAATGTAATCAATCAGGTGTGGTGGTGCACACCTGTAGTCCTAGCTACTTCAGAGGCTGAGGATAGCTTGAGTCCAGAAGTTTGAGGCTGCAGTGAGCTAAAAAAAAAAAAAAAAAAATCAAACTAACCTTAAATATATTAAAGCTTATATTACTACTTATCATAGAAGGTTAGACCTTTCCATTTTTTTGTAAGAAAATATAGAAGATATAATTACATTTATACTAAGAGCTTACATGGAATTCTGAAAAGTGGAAAAGTCATCAACTTGTGATCCAAAAATAAGAAATCCTAACTGGGCATAAGCAAAGAATATTATAAAAAACATGATGGCAAATCCTACTATGTCTTTAATACAACGGGACAAGGTTGATGACAGCTGAGACATTGTCTTGTTAAAGCTTATGAATTTGAATATCTGAAAAAGAACAAAGTTAATTGAAATAGGAGAATATCAAAGATGAAATTACTTAGAATAAATTAATTTCAGAAGAATTCTGCTTCGAATTAAAGGAGATATTTAATGATAATCACGGGTGTTTGAGGATTTGCCAGCAATCATTACAAGGCCAAACTTCTGGGGTTTTTTTTTGTTTTCTTGAGATGGAGTCTCACTCTGTCACCCAGGCTGGAGTGCTGTGGCGCGATCTCGGTTCACTGCAACCTCCGCCCCCTAGGTTCAAGCGATTCTCCTGCCTCAGCCTCCCTAGTAGCTGGGATTACAGGCATGTGCCACCACACCCGGCTAATATTTTTTATATTTTTAGTAGAGAGGATTTCACCGTGTTGGCCATGCTGGTCTCAATCTCCTGAGCTCAGGTGATCCACCCACCTCGGCCTCCCAAAGTCCTGGGATTACAGGCGTGAGCCACCACGTCTGGCCAACTTTTTTTTTTCTGTCATCCAGGCTGCAGTGTAGTGGGGGATTACAGCTCTCTGTAACCTCCACCTCGAGGGCTCAAGGGATCCTTTCACCTCAGCCTCCAGAGTAGCTGGGACTACAGGTGTGCACCACCACACCCAGTTAATATTTTTTGGTATCTTTGGATTTCCCAGGCTGGTCTCGAACTCCTGGGGCCAAGAATCTACCCGCCTTGGCCTTCCAAAGTGCCAGGAGTACAGTGTGAGCCACTGTGCCTAGCCCAAACTACTTTTAAAATTACTTAATAGTTGAAAAAATATTTTTCCCCATGACTTTTTAGTTTAATTTTTCATTATGCTATTACACTGTTTGTATTATTTAATATAATAAAATATAAATACCTTTATCCATGCAAAAAAGATGGTAATAGCAATTATATTATTGTAATAAATGTGCCAGCATGCAAGAAAATAGAAATCTGAATATTGTTCAGTACTTTCCAATAGCTCTCCAAGTAAGAGAAAAATTTGTACATTACAGTATGTGTTGAAGGAAACAGCCACAAAACACAACTAAATGGGAAAATAAAAAGGGTTAAGTTAGAGAATATCTCTACCTCTAAATATCTTACAGCCTATGAGGAAACACAAAAAAAGTTCACCAAAAGTTTAACAAAAAGGGAAGGAAAGATACGACATATGCTTTTACATAAATGGAAGTAACCCTCAACTTATGCAAGTTTAAGGTAGCACTAATTATTATAAAGTTGAAAAATATTAATTGCTTGGCCATCCTAACCTATCTAAATCTTTATTTCTTTGAGTCATAAAGCACAAATGTATAAAATGATTATGTAACTCTGAGGCCATAAGGATTTCTGCTCTACATAATACTTAAAAGCTAAACATTTTCTACTGTGTAATACTACAAGAAAACAATTTATAATTACAAAAAATAAAACCTTCTGGAACCTTTTAACAACCCTTTAAAAGAGTATTTCAGAACCAGGCTGTTTTAGCTATCAGAGCTTTATAACTGACATGAACATTTTCCTTTGACTATTCTTGCCTGAAATGCTCAGATAAACATTTAATGTTATGTCCTTTGTAAGATATTAGTGGAGTTACCAGAGAGGTAGGTGGCATACTTTCTGACTCTCAGAAACTTTCAATCTGGTTTTGGGAAACAAGGCTTAAATACTTGATTGGCTATAATTAAGGGCCAATAAGGGTGAAAGATCAAATTGTATAAGCTAGAAACATTGGTTCTTTGTTCATGAGACCAAGCCCTTTAACATTTGTCTCGGCCTGCCTAAATCTCTGTTTATTTCAGTACATTTCATTGACTAGAACTGATGGTCTTTGGTGTTTCTTTCAGGGACTATTTCTCCAAACCTGGTGCCCTCTGGACCCACAAGGTCCCCTCTGGCTGCTCACCCCTGTCAGTATTCTGCCTAGCCTTGTCTTTTGTCTATGTTTTCAAAATTTATTATGAGGAAAAAACCAGATTTGGCAACACAGATTAAACAGCCTTGCCCCCAAAGACCCGTGACTGGTGAAACTCAAGGCCCTGAAAGTAATACATTTTTTGAGTGGGGGTAGGGAGACCTACTGTGCACATTAAAGCATAATATTTCTGGAATCACCTTTCCCTGTAGGTTTACGCTGACCCTCCCAAGGACCAAATCAGAAGAAAATAGATCTCTCCCTTTTGGAGGCACACCATTAATAGTACTATTCCTAGTTCATTTTATGTTTGATACTTGTAATTTTCAAAATAAGTCCTGGATGGAATAGAAGATTCTGTCTTTTTACACCTCCTTCATTGGTAGGTTCAGATGTGATCCCCTTCAACCATGCGCATGAATATATACTCACCAGCAAAAGTAGCAATTCTAGCCAGTTCCAAATACTTTTGAAATAGGCAGACTTAAATTCTTTTATTTTTTTGACTTCTTGTGTTGTGAAGACAAAAAGAAAAATACAAAATGTGATTTCACAGGAAGCAATAAAATAATCATAGTAGCTAACATATCTGAGGAGCTTCACAGAGTAAAACTGCCATGAAGTAAGTATTCCTCCAGTTGCAGGGAATTCTGCCACCAATCTGTAAAATCAGGTTTGCGAAAGCAAATGTTCATTTCAAGCATTTATATTTCAGTACATAATGTGAAATTTTCAATCAATGATTATGTATGCTTTAATGATAATCAGTTTTTTGTTTTTTTTTTATAAAGTATGTTTCCTTGGGGAAATGGGTTCAATTTAAACATCTTCTAGATTTACTTATTTCATAGTGGCTCCACTTTTTCTATACCTGAATATTCACAGTGGTCAAAGACCAATGTAAATGAGAAAGCAAGTTGTGATTTTTTTTTTCAGACATTCATTCTATTTTGTGTTCAGCTTGCTTGTTCATAACTGGGAATATAATTTATGTCCACAGGAGAATGATATGTTCAAGAAAATGCTATACCATTAGTTACTGTTATTAGTTAGAACTTTTCCCCAATATACATAATTTTTGAATACTTCAGAGGGAGGACATACATTCTCCCTCTTTAGATTATCAGAAATGCTTGCTTCTAAATGTCAAGGTCACATATTCTACTAAAGCAATGTTTTCTGTTGGATGCTGGATACAAAAATCTATATGCAGACAGAAGTATAAAAATTAAATCCAACACTACATATAAAAAGATTTTGAGGTTCTCTGGTGTTCTCCACAACTTCTGATAATTAAGAATTGGTGGTAATTTAAGGAACCAGCATTTCTATCACAATATTATAATTTAATTATTCCTACTAAAGATTTTAGCAAATGTCATTGGTACTCTTATAAGGTGCTCCCAAAACAACAAAAACAAAACCTCAGTTAACAAATAAAACTTACATCTTACACATACTAGGTAGTGAGTGAAGTGAACTAAACTCAATATTATGATCTGAAGTGCAGACTAATCAAAAAGGAACAATAATATTCTGTTTAATTTGCCTGATAATTGTACAAAAACGAAAATAAACAGATAAGGTATAAGTAATATGCATCTACACAACTACTGATTAGATACTCCAGTTAACAGTTTCAAAGTCTGCTGAAGTTTCTAAAAAATAACGTTTTAAAAGGTAACAGAGTAAGTGTAAAACTTTCAGAGAGGAAATCTGGACTTAATCTGATATTACAAGGGCTTCTTCATATGTCTTAAAGCCAGTTACCTCAATGCTTCCATTCTTGTTTAGGACATAAAAATAATTTGTATTCTTCACTTTATCCTGATCAGGACTGTTGGAAAGGGTGAATGAAGTTGGTAAAAAGCTCTGATTCTCTGAGAGAAAAGAACTTTAAAATAAAAGGTAAAACATCCATTGGCTGCTTCAGGCAGTTCATTTGTTTTATTCATTTTTACATATTTTAAAGGCCATGGTGTGTTTCACTCTCCCTGTTGCACAGGGAGCAAAATCTCCTAAACTCCAGTTCCATAGTCCATTCAGGAAAAAATGTTAAGACTTATGAGATAAAAGTGGCTCACTGATATTAAATTTTTTTAACTTTTATTTTAGGTTCAGGGGTGCATGTCCAGGTTTGTTATATAGGTAAACTTGTGACTTGGGGGTTTGGTGTACAGATTATTTTTTCACCTGGGTACTAAGCATACTTCCTGACAGTTTGTTTCTGAGCCTCCTCCTTCCCACCCTCCTCCATCAAGTAGGCCCCAGTGTCTTTTGTTCCCCCTCTTCTGTCCATGTGTTCTCATTATTGAGTTCCCACTTATGAGAACATGTAGCTTTTGGTTTTCTGTTCCTGTGTGGGTTTGCTAAGGATGATGGCCTCCAGCTCCATCCATTTCCCTGCAAAGGATATGATCTCATTCTTTTTATTGCATAGTATTACATGGTGTATAGTAGACACTGTTGTTTGCCTCTCTAGCAGTCATTATCCCATTTTTTCTAACAGAATCTTAATTGTATTCAGTCTTCCACCCATCCCAGGTCACTTAGGGGATGCTAATTAAATCCCCAGGCAGATCCAGTCATGGTAATCCTTTACTAAGTGTTTGATTCTAGAGCAAATCCTTTTCTAGTGCTTGATTCTGACTCCCATATTGTTCGAAGATCAACTATACATTGAATTTAAAAAACATCTGAAGCCCTCACATCTGAACCCACAAATGAAGGAGGTATAAATCCTTATTAGGGTTTTGTTCATGCTTGTGCTGAGATTAAAATCCCAAGGTTTAAAATAAAAATAATGTAGGCTGGGCACGGTGGCTCACGTCTGTAATCCCAGCACTTTGGGAGGCTGAGGCGGGTGGATCACCTGAGGTCAGGAGTTCGAAACCAGCCTGGCCAACATGGCAAAACCCTGTCTCTACTAAAAATACAAAAATTAGCTGGATGTGGTGGTGCACATGCCTGTAATCCCAGCTACTCAGGAGGCTGAGGCAGTAGAATCGCTTGAACCCAGGAGGCAGAGGTTGCAGTGTGCTGAGATCATGCCACTGTACTGCAGCCTGGGCAACAGAGCTAGACGCCATCTCAAAAATAAAATAAAATTAAAAATAAAAAAATGAAAAATGTGGTTCTACTGTCAATATGAAAAAGTAACCACATTGTTTTATTATTTCAAAATTTATTTAGGAACATGGAGATTACATACAATGTTTTATATTGTTTAAGAATATGTAGTCTCACTTCTTGTCTTTCCGCAGCTTCAAAGAGCTATCATTTAGTCTTGATAATTTCCTCTTCTAATCAGATCATTAAAATCTGTTGGTTTCCTTTCAGAATGGCTTCTTTATTAAGTTACTCATTTTTGTCTCAAGAATGAACAATTTAAATTTCAATAAGTAATAGCAGCCAGGATCCCAGAAATATTAGAGCCTGTGGTATATTGCAAAAATAGCTATAGTTCTTCACATCTTTTTGCCTGGCCTGTCACCCAGGAGAGGGTGTACTGCCCCAGCCCTTGATGCTGGACTTGACCATGTGAATTTCTTTGGCCAATGGGATGTTAACAAATATGATGCAAGCAGAAACTTGAAATGAGTTTATACATTAGAACTTGCTCTTCGGGACCTCTACAATTGCCATGAAAAAGACATGCCTGGGCTAACTTGGACCCAGGAGAAGGATGAGATACATGTAGAGCAGAACCAACTCAAAGACACATGTGTGGGTCCTGCCAAATAGCAGCTATATTGGCAAGCCTAACAGAGATCAGTCAAGCCCAGCTGGATCAATTGAACTCTAAACACATGAGAAATATTTATTTTAAGCCACTACACTTGGAGGTGGTTTGTTCCCTAGGAAAAGCTAGATACAAGACCTAACTTGGGCCTCAGCTCTCTACCTCTGAATCATTTAGGAGGCTTTTGGTTGTAACCAAAAACCCCAACTTAAATTGGTTTAAACAATAAAGAAATTTATTTCTGTCACACAGCAGCAGTTTCAGAGATAACAGCAGACACCATTTGTGGTAAGTTCACAGATCTAGCTCCATTACTTTGAGATGGCTTCAGTTTTGCCCTCCTTTGTGTTAGCTAAGTATCTTACGCTTCCCCAAGATGATTGTGTACAAGCAGCAACTGTGATTATATGTCATTGATGTCAGTAAAGAGATAGCACCAACCAAAGAGAAAAAAAAAGCTATTCCCGTTAGTCTAATTGGGTTGCCTTAGATCACCTCCCTAACATGGACCATGCTAATTGATTTATGCCAGGCCAAGCTCACTACACTCCAGCCTGGGCGACAGAGTGAGACTCAGACTTAAAAAAAAACCATAAGGAAGAGAAAATATATTTACTATTCACTAAGTGGGTCTTCATAATGATCTTGATCCTAGTGGCCTTCATACTGAGTAGGCTGAGGAGGAGGAGGGGAAGAGGAAGGGAGGGTCTTGCTGTCTCAGGGGTGGCAGAGCGGAAGAGGTGGAGGAGTGCATTCAGTGAAACTTTACAAATTTTACATAATAATTTTTCTCTGACATTTTTTTCATTTTTCTAAAAATGTTTCTACACAGTACCAGTCCTTCAACCCTTTGCTTTAGTTTCTGTGCCTATATCATCGAAGGGTCCATGTCATAAAAGAAGTCAAAAGCAGTCTTGAATAATCGGAACCCTTCTCCAGATGTCTAATGTCCATTTATTTTCTGTTCTGTTTCTATGTTTTCCTTCTCATCATTTGGCACTGATTTGGAAGCACCCATCTCCATCAAGGACTCTTCTGTTAATTCCTCTGGTGTAGTGTCCATTAGCTCTTGATTTCTCCAAAATCAGTATCCTGAAACCCTTCACCCTCCCACCTTTTTTTTTTTTTTTTTGCCACATCTACATCTCTTTCATGATTTCTTTGATTGACTCTGTCATAAATCCTGTGAAGTCATGCACATCTGAACAGTTTTCTCCAGCGGGTATTTATTGTTTCAGGTTTGATAGCTTCACAGTTTTTAATAACGATGGCATCTTCAATAATGCAATCCTTCCACACTTTCATGATGTTCTCTCTGTTGGGGTTCTCTTCCGTAGTATCGACAATCCTTTCTAAAGAGTACTGTGTGTTATGAGCCTTAAAAGTCCTCATGATCCCCTGATCTAGAGGCTGAATTAGAGACGTTGTGTTTGGGGGTAAGTAAACCACTGGAAAAAGCATCAATGGAACCATTCTAGAAAAAGAGTTCTAATTGTCCAGGCCTCTTGTTGTACAACCAAAAGACTGGAAGCTGGTGTTTTATCTTTTCCCTTCAAGGTTAGGGGGTTAGCAGTTTTATAGATAAGGGTAGTCCAGATGATAAACCTGACTTCATTTGCACAAAACAGTAGAGTTAGCCTGTTTCTTCCTGCCTTAAATCCTTGTGCTTGCTTCTCTTCCTTATTAATAAATGTTCTTTATGGCATTTTTTTTTTCCAGAATACGGCACTATTGTCTGCATTAAAAACCTGTTCAGGCAGATATCCTTTCTCCTCAATGATTTTCATAATGACGTCTGCTATGTTGTCTGCTGCCACTTGGTTGGCAAAAGCTACTTCTGCTATCTTGACATTTTTGAAAGTGAAACCTCTTTCTAAAAGTATCAAACCAACCATTGCTGGCATTAAATTCTCCAACTTTAGATCCTTCACTTTCCTTTTACCAGTTGCCACATGATTACTTTTCTTTTCTTTCTTTCTTTCTTTTTTTTTTGAGACGGAGTTTTGCTCTTGTTACCCAGGCTGAAGTGCAATGACACAATCTCGGCTCACCACAACCTCCGCCTCCCAGGTTCAAGTGATTCGCCTAGGCTCAGGCTCCTGAGTAGCTGGGATTACAGGCTGTGCCACCACGCCCGGCTGATTTTGTATTTTTAGTAGAGACGGGGTTTCTCCATGTTGGTCAGGCTGATCTCAAACTCCTGACCTCAGGTGATTTGCCCACCTCGGCCTCCCAAAGTGCTGGGATTACAGGCGTGAGCCACTGCGCCTGGCTGACTTTGCTTTTCTTAAATCATTTAGCATCTAAAGGTATGCCTTTCTTATAGCAATCCTGCATTCCCACAGAAGCTGCATTTTCAATGAGATAAAAAGGTATTTTGCAAAAAGGGCAAGGTTTCCACACCTGCTGGCATAGCTGCAGTGATGGCTTCATGAATTTCCTTTCCTTCCCCCTGCTTCCAGGGCAATGGTCCTTAGTCTCTGGATTCACTTATCTTGAAACGGTGGGCAACTGCAGCTGCAGACGTCAATTTATGATACATATCAAGTAATTCAATTTTATCTTGTAATGTCATGACATTTCTCTACTTTGTGGGAGCACCCCCAGTATCACTAGTGGCATTTTGTATGGGTCCCATGGTGTTATTAAAGGTTTATGGTATTGCACTAAATACGATAAAAAACACATGAGAACTATGAGAGATCACTTTTTTACTGAGATACACAATTTATTGGAGAGACAAACTGCTTAAGTGAAGATGGTGAGCATCACACGACACTTTAAATGGATACAGCACTAGAGTTCACTGCAATAGCAACAGGAGATGGCTATGAAATTCTTACACTAGTGCAGTGTGTACTCTAATTTTATGCAGTTATGATATAGTACTGCATCTTTTGTTTACATTTTTCTTGACTGCAAATGGTGCCACATGTTTATGTGCATAAGTTTTGGTAAATTTTAACTTCTTATAATAGATTTGTGTATACTGTGTGATAGTAAACAATAAAATAGATGAGTATCTACAGGTATTTCATGCATTCACGACATGCCTAACTTCTTCTTAATTTTTTTTTCAGTATTTCTAGGCTACATGGTTGGTTTGGGAGTTTTTTCAAATTGTCACAAAGGTCCAAAAATTTTCCAATATATTTACTGAAAAAATCCATATCTAAGTGGACCTGTACAGTTCAAACTCATGTTGTTCAAGGGTCAACTGTACTAATAAAGAAGTTTTGTAGGCCACTGACCACTGTCTATGAAAAAAAGTTTTGAGTCACTCACCTGATAATACAAAATAGATTTACGTTAGCATTATATAAGGAAAAATCAATAAAAATAACTCTAGTCCCTCTTGTGATCCAGCTGTTCAGTCGAAGGTCAATGAACTTGTTTTTGGTTTCAGATTTTGATTTCGATAAAGTGAAAATATATCCTCCATTTCGGTAAACACCAAGAAATCCCCAGTGCCAAGGGGAGTTGGTATTAGAAGTAGAATATCTCCATCTGTTAGACATAAAAAGAATAATGGTGAAATGAGAAAGCCCAACTGAGAAGTATTCTCATAATTTAAATTGATCTTTGGTTCAAAAGTAGTAGTTTTTTGGCTGGGTGCGGTGGCTCACGCCTGTAATCCCAACACTTTGGGAGGCCGAGTAGGCGGATCCCTTGAGCCCAGGAGTTCGAGACCAGCCTGGGCAATGTGGTGAAACCCCATCTCTACAAAAAACACAAAAACTAGCCAGGCATGGTGGCGCGTGCCTGTAGTCCCACCTACTCAGGAGGCTGAGGTAGGAGGATTGTTTGGGCCCGGGAGGTTGAGCTGCAGTGAGCTGTGATCATGCCACTGCACTCCAGCCCAGGCAAAAGAGCCAGACCCTGTCTCAGAACAAAAACAAAAAAACCAAAAACAAACAAAAAAACAAAACAAAAGTAGTACTTTAAAAAAAAGTATTAGTAAATTCATAAGTATTATAGTAATTTTAAAGCAAGACAATGCATTGAGGACTAAAGGATTAAGATTTAATTAAGATTTAATGTAGTTTATACTTTTTAATGCATATGGTGGGCAACACCACTGGACTAGGTGCTATGAGATAATTTTTCAAAAATCCATAATTTTTCAAAAATTTGCTGGGCATAGCAGCACGTGCCTATAGTCCTCGTTACTGAGAGCCCCAGAGTTCAAGGCCGCATTGAGCTATGATTGCACAACTGCACTCCAGCACTCCAGCCTGGGTGACCAAGTGAGACCCTGTCTCAGAAAAAAAAAAAATCCATCTGTTAGGTGTGGTGGCATATGCCTGTAGTCCCAGCTACCCAGGAGGCTGAGATGAGAGGACTGCTTGAGGCCAGGAGTTTGAGGTTGCAGTGTCGATGATGGTGCCTGTGAATAGTCCCTGCACTGTGGCGTAGGTCACATGGTGAGATCCCCTCTCTAAAAAAACAAAAAAATCCATCTGTTGTCTCACAGAGCTTAGAATTGTCTCAGGGAGCTTAGAATCTAGAAAATGACGACTGTTTTTTTTCTTTAACATGTTGTTTCTGTTATGAGATACTTAGTCTTTGAGTAGGACAAAACTATTAAGAGTTTTGGCTCAGAAATGGGTAAAAAAGGTGTTTCATAACTGTCTTGTAAATGTAAGATATTGTTTATAAATGCTCAATAAAAACTTTGTTACAATGTCCATGTTGTTACGTAGATATTTTAATGAAAGTACATAAAAATCAAAGTAAACTGTGTATAACTAAATTTTGGACTGGGTGCAGTGGCTTACACCTGTAATCCCAGCACTTTGGGAGGCTGAGGTGGGCGGATCACTTGAGGCCAGGAGTTCGAGACCAGCCTTGCCAATGTGGTGAAACCCCATCTCTACTAAAAACACACAAATTAGCTGGGCGTGGTGGTGCATGCCTGTTATCCCAGCTATTTGGGAGGCTGAGGCACGAGAATCTCTTGAACCCAAGAGGCGGAGGCTGCAGTGAGCCAAGACCCCGCCACTGCACTCCAGTCTGGGTGACAGAGTAAGATTCTGTCTCAAAAATAGAAAAAAAAAATTTTTTTTTGTTTCTTCTTTTTAATTTGTAACTTAATTACAGGATATCCAAAAGTGGAAAGCTTTGATTCCTCATTTCAGTCTCTCTATTCAGTTCCCCCAAAACAGATTTGAAAGGTTATTCAAAGATGCACTGCTTAAACCTGTTCTACTACTAACACTACAGCAGGGAGGGAAAGAGACACCACTAGGAAAAAATACCTATGTTTTAATGAAACTTCCATAGTTGTATTTTTGAGTGTTTTCCACACACGACTATTAAGTGGAAACAGGAAGATCTGTTGCACCAGATCTCTCCTAGCTTCCAATGTTTTGTTTTTAATTAGTGAATTTTACATTTTAGACAAGCAAAATTGATTTTTTTTTCATTGTTGAGGATTAACAGGTATTAATTCACAATTCCAGTAAAGTATAGAGATTATAAAATAAACCTAATTGATAGTGTTAATTTTGGTATTTTATAAAGTATTTGTACTTGTTATGAGAATTTGGAATATTAAAATACTTAAAAGAGTAGTCTTAGGATTCCAATTAATAATGTGTAAATAATTGCTTTATCTTGTAATTTGGGGTTGAAAGAAAGTAAATAGTACTATAATAGTTAAGAGAATGGGCTGGGTGTGGTGGCACACACCTGTAATTCCAGCATTTTGGGAGGCCAAGGCAGGCGAATTGCTTGAGCCCAGGAGCTTGAGACCAGCTTGGGCAACATGGTGATATCCCATTTCGGCAGAAAATACAAAAATTATCTGGGTGTGGTGCCATGTGCCTGTAGTCCCAGCTACTTGGGAGGCTGAGGTGGGAGGATTGCTTGAGCCCCAGAGGTTAAGGCTGCAGTGAGCTATGATCTTCACTGCACTCCAGCTTGGGCGACACAGCGAGACCCTGTTTCAAAAATAACAATAATAATTTTTCTTTTTTGTTTTTTTTTAGACAGCATTTTGCTCTTGTTGCCCAGGCTGGAGTGCAATGGCGCAATCTTGGCTCACTGCATCCTCCGCCTCCTGGGTTCAAGCAGTTCTCCTGCCTCAGCCTCCCAAGTAGCTGGGACTACAGGCATGCACCACCATGCCCGGCTAATTTTTTTTTTGTATTTAGTAGAGACAGGGTTTCACCATGTTGGTCAGGCCTGTCTTGGAACTGCTGACCTCAGGTGATCCACCCACGTTGGCCTCCCGAAGTGCTGGGATTACAAGCGTGAGCCACCGCGCCCGGCCATAATAATGTATCATCATACTTATGAATGTATTCGATTTATAAGAATCATACAAGTCCTCAAGAACACTAAAAACTCATACAAAGAAGAAACAAGTTAAAAAAAAAAAAACCCAGCAATAATTAATCCTGGGAGTTCAAGAGAAGTTGTTCAAGAAAGGAAATATAATCATTATTCATATTTATAATATAAACATTGACTAATGATTGACAATAATTATGATATAACTATATTGAGATGCTAAGAAGAACAGGAGGAGTGTGTGTAGAGGGGGTAGCATAAGAGAGCTATATGACAGATCGCCTTCCATGATAGAAAAACAATAGAGGCTGGGTGCAGCGGCTCACACCTGTAATCCCAGCTCTTCGGAAGAGCAAGGCGGGAGGATTACTTGAGACCAGGAATTTGAGATCAGCCTGGGTAACGTAGAAAGACCCTGTTTCTACAAAAAATAAAAAAAACTAGTCAGGTGTGGTGGTTTATTCCTGTAGTCCTAGCTGCTACTCAGCAGACTGAGGCAGGAGGATTGCCTGAGTCAGCAGTTTGAAGCTGCAGTGAACTATAATTACACCACTGCACTCCAGCCTGAGCAAGACAGTGAGATCCTGCCCCTAAAGAAAAAAAAAAAAAACATAACTGTAAAATCAAGTGTAAGGTAGCAGTATGAGGATGTAACTTAGAAAAAGTATATACCAGAAGAAACAACTATAAAAGAGCTGAAAGTAGCTGCTTCTGGAGAGTGGAAATTATGAGTAGGAAAGGGTAGAACTTTGTAGATATTCGTATTGCTTTAATAAATATTAAATTATAAAAAATGTTCATTCTCTTCTCTCTATAATTTTTTTTTTTGAGGGGGGGATGGAGTTTTGCTCTTTCTTGCCCAGGCTGGAGTGTAGTGGCGTGATCTTGGCTCAATGCAACCTCTGCCTCCAGGGTTCAAGCGATTTTCCTGTCTCAGCCTCCCAAGTAACTGGGATTACAGGCGTGTGCCACCATGTCCAGCTAATTTTTGTATTTTTAGTAGAGATGGGGTTTCACCATGTTGGCCAGGCTGGTCTTGAACTCCTGACCTCAGGTGATCCGCCTGCCTCGGCCTTCCAAAGTGCTAGGATTACAGGCATGAGCCACTGCACCTGGCCTTTTTTTTTTTGAGACTGAGTCTCACACTATCGCCCAGGCCAGAGCGCAGTGGCGTGATCTCGGTTCACCGCAACCTTTGCCTTCTGGGTTCAAGTGATTCTTGTGCCTCGGTCTCCTGAGTAGCTGGGACTATAGGTGTCTGCTACCACACCTGCCTAATTTTTCTATTTTTAGTAGAGACGGGGTTTCGCCATGTTGGCCAGGCTGGTCTCAAACTCCTGACCTCAAATGATCCACCCGCCTCAGCCTCTCAAAGTGCTGGGATTACAGGTGTGAGCCAATGATTTTCATAAGGTTCTAAAAGCACAAAGTGTGCGTAGCACTGATACCAGCAGCTTCTGTGTCAAGGTAAGCTAGTGCCAGTGGCACATTTCCTTCCTTTTTTTTTTTTAGGGACAAGGTCTCCCTCTGTCCCCCAGGCTGGAGTGCAGTGGTGTGATCATAGCTTGCTGCAGCTTCAACCTCTTGGGCTCAAGTGATCCTCCTGGATCAGCCTTCCAAGTACCTTGGACTTCAGGTAAGCCCCATCACACCTGGCTAATTTTAAAATTTTCTGTAGAGACTGGGTCTCAGTATGTTGCCCAGACTAGTCTTGAACTCCTGCCCTCAAGCAATCCTCCTTCCTCGGCTTCCCAAAGTGCTGTGATTACAGGTGTGAGCCACCATGTCTGGCCTCACATTTTCAATACAAAGTGTACACATGAGTCTACACCAGCACTAGCCTCAGTCACTTTGAAACACAATGGCCATAGCATCTTTGGCAAGCATCATCAGATGCAGTCCCTGTAGAGCATGACTGCCCCATTTTAGTAGGAGCAGCAACAGAAAAAAATCACTGAAGGAAGCCAGAGTAAGAGAGGAGGAAAGTGACAGAGCACAACTAAGACACCCACTAAGGATCCCAGATCGTCTTGGGGATGTGTTGTCGGCATCTAGCCACAGCCAAAAAAGCAGATTAATTGAACATTTTAGAAGCAAAAATTGATGCTTTGCCCTGTGTCCAATATGACTAAGCACTTCATATACCAAAGTCAGAAAAAAGAAACACTTTGCATCCTAAAGTAAACAAAAAATAATAGGTTCACCCTTCCTTTTCTAAACATTGCTATCTCCAAATCTTCCTTTTTTACTACTGTTGAAACAGTCTCCTTACCCTTCCAGGACCCAGCTGGTGTTACTTGGAAGACACACATCTAAAAGATACAATGGTAAATGCTAGAAAAAGTATAATTTTATGCTACTTACTCAGTATTAATTTGAAGGCCAAAATTAGAGAGGTCTTCATTTGCAGAAGTATATTTGCCATAACATTCACTCATCAAAGACTGAAAAGATGAATAGACTTTGCATGTGTTGTTGCGGACTTTTAGTTGACGAACTCTGGGGACTCCTAGAAGTATATTCTCATAGTAGATGCGACTGCTGTTCTTTAAATTATACAGCTGCTGGTTATTGTACCATGAATCCCAGTACAGACCTTCCAAAAGGGGTCCTTCCATAAACTTCATATAGAAAAACAAATGTCATGGGAAAAATATTTTCATGTCTATAGAATCTACATTCATACCATTATGCATAAGAGATTTTGAGTATGAAAGTCAAACTATTGATCAAGCTACCATTAATGGTAATGGTAATGCTAATGAAGCTACTGCGGATGGTTAACACTCATTAAGCATGTACTGTGTACTAGGCACTGCTCTAAGCACTTTATAAGCATTAACTCATTGAATCCCGTAGCCCTTCTTCTCTCCTTATACGAGTAAATTAAAATTTTCTTCCAATACATGAGTATCAGAGCTGGTCATAGCCACACATCATGACTTCACTCCAAAGTTGTCTGTACCCCTCCTCCTAACCCTCCTCCCCAGCTCTGGCCATGGTGCCTGCTACTCCTGGCTTTGCCCTTTGCTGATCGTTCTAAGAGATCCCAAGCCCAGGGTTCATTTACTTCCTCCCTTTGTCTTCTCTGTCATTGTCCACATACATGCTTCAGAAAACACAGTAACAAAGTGGCAGGGTGACCTCCACTTCTTTTATTATTGTTTCCTATTTCACCTAGCCTAAACCAACCATCTAGGATCATTTAGCCCTCATCTCACACTTGCCCTCTTTCAGGAAATGACCCTGTCTCCTTGGTAAGTTTCAAATTCCTGCACAGCATTCATGATATGACCTCTGTCCAATTCATACTTTGGCCTTTTCTACCTCATCTTCCATATGCTCACAATACCAAACATAGCTCCACATGTAGAATTACTTAGAGAACATATTGTTCCTTCTTCCTAAAATACCCATCCCTGATTCATGCTTCAAAATGCAACTAAATTGTCATCACCACTGGAAGCCTTCTCTACCTTGTCCTTATATGCCCCCATGTGCATATGCCAGGTTTTGTGACCTGGGAGAGCTGAAACTGCTGTCCCCTTAACTGTTCTTTCCTCATAATGTGAGCATGTTGCTATGTTAAATGTAATGGAAAAAGCAAGTCTATTTCACTGCTGAAGGAATGATTCCCTTACATAAGTAAAAACACCATGAAATGATATTCTTATATGTACGTTTTAATATATACTGTACCTTACCATAACACATATACACAGTAAAGTCTTGTATGCCAAAACCACATATATTATTACACTTTCTGGGCAATTAAAGAACTTTTTCAAAGTAAATTTCACTATACACAATTATAGACTAGATCCTAACCCTCACATAAGATGCAAGTCTTCTATTTAACAAATGAAATGAGAACGTTTAAAAAAATCATTTTTTTTTTTTTTGAGATGGAGCCTTGCTCTGTTGCCCAGGCTGGAGCGCAATGGCATGATCTTGGCTCACTACAACCTCCAACTCCCAGGATTACAGGTGGCTGTCACCATGCCCGGCTAATGTTTGTATTTTTTAGTAGATACGAGGTTTCACTATGTTGGTCAGGCTGGTCTCGAACTCCTGACCTCAGGTGATCCACCCACCTTGGCCTCCCAAAATGCTGGGATTACAGGCGTGAGCCACCGTGCCCGGCCAAAAAAAATCAATTTTTAAAAAATTACAAGAATAGTATCAAACTGAGAACACAGGCTCTCAATAAACACTTACTGGCTGGTTGTTTCTAATAGTTTAAAGAAATGACATTTATTTTTATTTGTTCCTTCAAGAGATATTCATTGAGTGCCCACTATGTATGCCAAGGGTTCATGGACTACCTAAATCTACTTCATCCACAGTCACAAGATACTTTACCTTCCAAAAATCAGTTATGCTGCGAATAGACTTAAAGTTGGTTCTTTCTTCACCAGGCACAGAAGTGTCCAAAAATAGAGATGACATAACCTTGTTTAAGTAATACATATGTGGGTTTACCATCCCAAAAGTCACTAAGGAGAAGAATTTTTTGTTCAATAATTTACATTTAAAAACTCAGCTTATCAGGATTAAACATGTTATATTTTGTTCCTAATTTTGAAAATTAAACTTTATTATTTTATCTAATTATAAAAGTAATAATTAAAAAAATCTAAACTAAAAATATAAAAAGTAGGATGTAGTTCTAGAATTAGTTTGGCAAATATTCTTCAGATATTTCTTTATGCATACACACTTATAAAGAAAATAATTTTATCTTTACAAAAATGAAGACACATTATACACACTATTCTGCAAGTTGACTTTTTCTCTACATGAGAGTAAGGCAGTATAGTACTGTGAGTGATTAAGATTATACGGACTTTGAATTCAGACAGATAAGGGTGTGAGTCCCATCACAGGGATAGTATCTCTTACCTCCTAGTTTTGTTGTGAGAAGTGAGATGATGCACATAGAACATTTTAAACTGTGTTTTGGCACACGATGAGTTTTTAAAAATATTAACTAGTGGCGGGGCGTGGTGTCACACCTGTAATCCCAGCACTTTGGGAGGCTGAGGTGGGTGGTGGATCACCTGAGATCAGGAGTTGGAGACCAGGTGACCAACATGGTGAAACCCCCATTTTTACTAAAAAAGTACAAAATTAGCCGGGTGTGGTGGTGCAGGCCTGTAATCCCAGCTACTCTGGAGGCTGAGGCAGGAGAATCGCTTGAACCCAGGAGGTGGAGGTTGCAGTGAGCCACTGTACTCCAGCCTGGGTGACAGAGCAAGACTGTCTCAAAAAAAAAAAAAAAAAAAAAAAAAAATCACATTATAAATGGAGATTCAGGTTGCTTTATTATATTAAAAAAGTGTTCTTTAAAATCTCTGAATAATGAGATTATAAATGATCTTTTTACTTATATTTTTATATTTTCCAAATATTCTGTAGTAAGCATGTAGTTTTCATAACTAAGCTTTTATAAAGCCATCTAAGATACCTTAATTTATAAAGTTGCCTACAGTTATCTTTTTTTTTTTTTTTCTTGGGACAGGGTCTCAGCCTGTCACACAGGTTGAAGTGCAGTCGTTGCAATCACAGTTCACTGCAGCCTTGACCTCCTGTGCTCAAGGAATCTTCCACCTCAGCCTTCCCAGTAGCTAGGACTACAGGGGTGTGCCACCACACCTGGCTAATTTTATAGTTGTCTTTTCAATCAAGAGCAGACTCAAACTCACCTCTACAACACCAATTAATTATTTAATTGCTATACAATTGCCAGTGTGTAGCACGTACCAACATGAGATAAATGCTGCCAGTGAGCTTTCATCTACTGTATGTTGGGTGCCATAAAGACAAATGCTCTTTAATACTCGTCTTTGCATATTAAGCCGATGCTATTGACCCACAGGCAGGAGGAATGCAGGTTGAGATGCTTTCCCAGTCCTCCTTAATTATTTGCATTGACTCAGCACAAACGTATTTTTGTAACTGCAATAGGTGAGTGAAAAGAACCATGCTAATGGCAGACACCAAGATGAACTTTGGCCTCATTTGTACTTTGATTTTATGAAACTCAGCTGATGTGTCTATATGACTCTAAACAAAATCAAATCGCAGTTGCCAACCGAAGGGATGAATTATGTTCAAGACAGAACTGCCAAATGAAAGGAATCATTAAAATTCAATCAATATTGACTATGGAAGCTTCTTACATTTGTGATGTAAAATTTTGCCTTTTAAGAACTGGAAATAGTCAATTTCTAAATGAAATGAATCTAAATCAATCTAAGATTATGTTTAAACGGTGTCACTGTATTTTGAGTTTTAGTAGCCTGACAGCCTATGGTTTCGAAGTCTATGTTTTATTTTTCATCTCCACATTTTAACTTCTTAGTTCAAACAAACAACACCTTTATATCTGTGTACTTACATATACATAGGTTTATTAAAAAAATAAAGTAGAGTAACAATTCCTGAAGTGTGGTGGTAATTTCTACTTCCTTTCTGTAATGCAGCTTATGTTTCGAAGCCCCTGTGAGATATAAGACAAAATTTTTCTTTACATTATTATGTAATTTATGTTTATTAAGTGACAACAATGGAAAAACCACAACCACTTTTAGTCCTTACACTGCGGGGAGGAAAGCTCCAATAGCTTATGGCTATTTTTCAATGCTCAGCTTTACGAGGCGGGGAGAATTTTTTTACTATATACTATTAACAACAATTTTTTTTTTTGTTTTGAGACGGAGTCTAGCTCTGCTGCCAGGCTGGAGTTCAGTGGCGTGATCTCGGCTCACTGCAACCTCCGCCTCCCGGGTTCAAGCGATTCTCCTGCCTCAGCCTCCCGAGTAGCTGGAACTGCAGGCGCCCGCCACCACGCCCGGCTAATTTTCGTATTTTTATTAGAGATGGGGTTTCACCATGTTGGCCAGGATGGTCTCGATCTCTTGACCTCGTGATCCGCCCGCCTCGGCCTCCCAAAGTATCGGGATTACAGGCGTGAGCCACTGCGCCCGGCCACTAACATTTTTTATATCATGATGTCTTCTCAACAGTCCTAAGATGAAAAAGCAAAATACAAAACAAGCTAAACCTCTCATCTGTCCTAACCGTTTTCTCCACCCCTCAACACCGCTTCTTGGGAAGGCTGGTTTCTGCTGGAGAGGGAAAAAGCACCCTGGCTTGAATTCTGTCAAGGTCACGACTCCCGAGATCAACAAAGGACTTTAGAGACCAGCCTAGTGACCGACCGTCACTCGACAGCAGGTGACAACGCCCAGCTCGAGCCTTCGGCAAGAGGCGAGCGCCACGACGCTCAGGGCTTCAGTTTTCCCGTCTGTGCAATGGGACCATCTGTCCCTCTCCGCTTCTCCAGGGGAGGCTGTGAGGGCTAAAGGTGTCGGCAAGTCGGGCGCGGTGGTTCACGCCTGTAATCCCAGCACTTTGGGAGGCCGAGGCGGGCGAATCACGAGGTCAGGAGATCGAGACCATCCTGGCTAACACGGTGAAACCCCGTCTCTCCTTAAAAAAAAAAAACCCCAAAAACAAACAACAACAACAAATCCCCCCCCCCTACAAAATTAGCCGGGCGTGTGGCGGACGCCTGTAGTCCCAGCTACTCTGGAGGCTGAGGCAGGAGAATGGCGTGAACCCGGGAGGCGGAGCTTGCAGTGAGCCGAGATCGCGCCACTGCACTCCAGCCTGGGCGACAGAGCGAGACTCCGTCTCAAAAAAAAAAAAAAAAAGAAAAAAGGTGTAGGCAGTCATATCTCTCACATGAATTGAATTTGGGGCCGCAGAGTTCCTTTCAGGGTGTCTGGAACTGCCAAATCGCCCCTGTCCCTCCCATTCCTTAAGAGCATCCCTCACCCCCTCGGTGCCACCGTGACGCCTCAGCCATGGCGGACTTGCACTACACCGCCAGTTCGTTCGCCCGGGGCCGCGGCGCTTGTGCGCTGCTCTCGCGGAGCGCACTGCCCCGCTCTGACGCCTGCGCGAGCCCCCGGCTCCTCCAGGGCTGCGAGCTACTGAAGGAGTCTTCAGCGCGGCTGCGCCGCAGGGGCTCGGGCGGCCCTTTGCCCGAGGCGGGCTGCGGGGGTCTGGTGCGGAGGGCCAACTTCTGGGAATAACCTGGCTGTGGGCTTAAAAATCGTATCATTCATTATCACGGGCTTCTCTTTCTCGAATACCTTTAACATTTATCGCCTTGTTAGTCTCCACATCCACCTCCGTGAAAGGTAGGTATTTTTGTCCTCATTTTAGGCCTGAAGAAACCGAGACGCTGATAAATGAAATAATTCACTGAAAGTTGGGGCCAAGTCTGTTGGATGCCCAAGCCGAAATGCCTAACCGTGACCCCACGCTGCTGCTGCTGCTGCTACTTGCAGAAACTGGTTATTAACCGAGAGCTGTTGCTGGAAGTAGCTTCCACTCTCCTGCCCCCCTAATGTAAAAATAGATGAAAAATCCTGCGGTGATTATGCGAAAGGGCAGGCCAGAACAGGAGCCCAGACCCATATCTGACCCAGAAGCTTTGCAAAGAGGAGAAGGTTGGTAAATCAGCTATAGAAAAGGCCAAATTAATTTGGCTGTAAATAAGGCAGCCAAAAACCCTCCAGGATGTAAGACCAGGACGGATTCTCGTGTTGATAAAAAGGAAAATAAAATGGAATCCAGTCCAAAGGCCGCAGGGAAACCTGCAAAGAAAACACTAAACAGTTTTGAAAGTAAAACAGAAAGCCACTTTTGTTATTTCCCTGAAAGAGATGTAGAATGATGTCGATAAATGCTGTTTTATGTGTAGATAAAAAGCAAAACTGGGCCACACAGTAGTGAGGGTCAAAAACTACCATTGATGAGAGGAACAGGAGAGGCCTTGCAAAAGGCTGCCAGCCAGTGAACTAGAGGCCCGAGAGGGAAAAAAGCTTTGGAATAGTTTTAACAAAAGGATTTGGGCTTTCCTGTACTGGGACTCTCAGCAGTTCACAAAATTATGCTTTCTAAAGTAAGAGGTTATCTGAAATTGAAATTATTGGAGGAAAAACACCCATAAATAGGTATTCAAATTTACATAATAGTTTTTTTTTTTTTTTTTTTTTTTTTTAGAGAGGGAGTCTCCCTATGTTTCCCAGTATGGCCTCAAAGTCCTGATCTTAAGGGATCCCCAGCTCAACCTCTCCCAGCAGCTGGGACTACAGGGCTGTCAAATTTACATTAACTATGAGAATTAAGTAGGTGACCTCTAGAGACTATTCTTATTCCTTTGAGCATAACAGACTGAAAAATCCTGAAGAATTAGAGACCTGTTTGGTTAAAACAAAATCACAAATTCGGTAGATTCAGTCATGATTTAAGTTAATCGTGGTTGCCTTTGAAGTGCAAACCATGGAAAGTCTAGCTCAGTTTTCTAGAGGAATTGGCTGAGCTGTAAGTGAGCTTCACACTGTTCTAGAATATAACATTCCTCTTTTGGAACTTGTTATTCATAGGTTTTGCTGAGTGGAGTTTTATTTTACAGATCTAGACTTTTGTGAAGAGGAGACAGTCCGTTTTAAATATTTGAATTTTATTCTCTTTTGACATAAAACTGTGGAACACTCAGATAATCTATACCATGTTAGTATTCCTACAAGAGAAAACGGGTAAAACAGTATTTAGAAAGCAGTACCAATAAACATTATTACAAGCATTAGATGTGTTTAAAAAGTTGATACTAATTTATAACCTGTAATTGTTAAATGTGTATGACTTAAATGTTAAAATCCTGTATTTTAAGATGGTCTTCTACAGTTACAAATCCATATACCCAGATTTCCTGTAGGCTTCACAAATTGGAGGAGTACATAGAATGTGCAAGAGTCAAAGGATAAATAATAATATAAATATATATTAACTATATTACCTAATTAAAACCATAATCTGTTAATACAGCTATGGATTAATTTCAAAAAATGTAATCAATTATATTACTAATGGTGTAGTTGGCTGTTTTCCAATGTTGGTAAAGTTATTAAAGTTCTTCACTTTCATAGAGTCCAGATTGAGCTGCCAAACGCTGAAATTCTCCTTCTGGGTTAAAAGCTTGTTTTACATCCAAACCTCTCCCGTTTAGTGCTAAATATTTGCTGAATGTTGGTCGAACCCGTAACTGCTTAGGAGCTGGAAGAGTTTGGTTTGGACGTGCTGAAATAGATCACATAAAAGTTGATTCAGAAAACCTGTTCTAACCAAATTGGACACCTAGGTATTTATTATCAGACAGGAAAAGAAAAAAGAACCAAAGCTGATTATATATAGGGAAAATCTCTCAACTTTTATACTCTGCTGGAATTTGCATTTCTTATTAAATCTTCCTAGTTAAATCCCTTATAATACTTTGGTTAATAGTATGACATACCCGTAACGTCTAATCTTGTGTTACATGTGGTCACTCCAGCTTCATTAACTGCTGACACAGTATACCACCCAGCATCTTTCTTGTTTACATCTTTTATCAGTAAAGTAACTCTTCCAGTGTTATCTTGATATAAGCTGAAAAAAATTTTTTAAGAAATGAAAGTACAGGAATTATTTCTGGGAAGTGGATGTCTCTGACCTACAGTCAGACTGAGAAGAAAAAAACATTTGAAAATTCCGAAGCTGTATCTATTTATTGCCAAATAGCTATTGGTTTTCTTGAATTAAACATCCCCCCTTGGGTGCTGTCTCCCTCTGCCCTTCAGTCTGTCCCCTGATCCCTGATGGTCTCTGTCATTCACTTGGGTGTGTCTGTGTTTGTATTTATGTGTATGTATAGGGGAACCGGAGGGGTTCTGACCTGTTCCCTTATCTGTCTCCTACCTTCTCCTTTGTTTAATAAAGGCTGAAGCTTTTTGTAAAGAAAAAAAGGAAAAGAAAAGAAAAGAAAATATCCCCCTTTAATCTTGTTTATGTCATTTATTTCCTTGAGCCATCTTTCATCATCATTGATAAAAAGATAAATCCTAGTCTGCTTTATGCCTTACATTTCCGATTAGTGGAATCTGGCTTACTGAAGTTTTCTTACATTTATTATCTAATGTATATTTTAGTATATTATTCTTTAGTGTTTTAAAAACTAGACAAATTGAGATAAATGCATGCCATTTATAATGCATGTTAAAAAGTATAACTGGATTCGCCCAAATAAACTATAGTAAGTCTAGAAATACATATCCTACCTTATTCGGTCAGTGTTGAATTGTACCATTTCATTATTTCTTTTCCAGAAAAGCTTTGGTGGAGGTATAGCCGAGATCTGGCATTCTAGTTTCACTGAGTCTCCCTCTAAAACTTTTTTGCTCTGTGGTTTGTAGATAAACATTGGTGCTCTTTTATGTTCTTTTGCTATATATTAATACAAAAATTCAAGTGTTTGAAATATTGTAAAAAAGGTATTAAATCATTATGAAATTTGTATGTTGATATTAAAATATTAAAACCAACAGCAACAGAATTAGAAACTTTTAGTTAAAAAGACATGCAATACTATTTTATTATACCGTTCAGAATTCTAAACTCTAATGTAATGATTCATTGAATTGATAATCAGATAATTATATTTCATTAAAACTTAAGTCATATTCTTTTTTTTCTGAGGCGAAGTCTCGCTCTTTTGCCCAGGCTGGAGCGCAGTGGTGTGATCTTGGCTCACTGCAACCTCCGCCTCCCAGGTTCAAGGAATTCTCCTGCCACAGTCTCCTGAGTAGCTGGGATTACAGGCGTGCACCACACCTGGCTAATTTTTGTATTTTTTTAGTGGACATGGGGTTTTGCCATGTTAGCCAGGCTGATCTCTTAACTCCTGGCCTCAAGTGATCTGCCCACCTGAGCTTCGTAAAGTGTTGGGATTACAGGCATGAGCCACTGTGCCTGGCCCAAATTTAAGTTGTATTTTTTAATCATCTCATCTACAGGGAGGCGGCATGAGTGATGGAAAGAGTATCAGACAACTTGGGTTCAAATTACCTAGTGGCTCCACGAGCCATGCAAAACTGATAAAATTTTGTTTAGTTTCTCTGAGTCTCAGTTTTATCTATTGTTTAAAAAAAAAAAAAAACCAGGTAGTAGTAACTGTTGTGTCTACCACACAAAATAGTTGTAAGGAACAAATGAGATAATAAACGAAGAGATACTTTGTAAACTGTGAAGGAATATGGGAATATCAGTAATTATTATGACCTTGTTTTCCTACCTGAGGGGAGAGAGGAAAGGATAGTTCAGTACTATAACCCTGATTTTTCTGAAGGAGAGATGAGATTAAACAGATGGCAGCCAAGATCTCTTTCAGCTCTACTATTGTAGTATTTCTGAAGCAATTGGTACAAATAAGATTTGCCTAAACTTTAATCACTTAAATTGTATGTGTTTTTGAAAATTTCCAGCTCACTAGTTTTTCCCTTAGATTGAGGTCCTTTGGTATGTTATGGAATAATCTTAAAGATTTTTGTATTGATCTGGGTGGAATATAAACTCAAGAAATAGTTTATCCTTTAACCTGATCAAACTTTTATATAATAAACAGTGAATTATAGCAAAATATCTCTTACGCAATATACAATGGTTTAAAGTATTAAAAATGTGGTATGGGTTGAGTATCCATTATCTAAAATGCTTGGGACCAGAAGTGTTTTGGATTTCTGATTTTTTTTAAATTTTAGAATATTAGTGTTATACTTGTTGAGCATCCTTAATCTGAAAATCCAGAATGCTCTAATGAACATTTCCTTTGTGTGTCATGTCGATTTTGGAGCATCTTAAAGATTTCAGATTTTTGGATTAGGGATACTCAACTTGTATATTTAAAGCACTTAAAGTGTAAAATTTAAAAACTAGACACCAGTTTTATAAGAACTGCCCTACTTAAGACAGATTTGAGACATAAATGTAGCCATACCTGTTTTCTAAAGCAAGTAGG